AAAGCGTTCCGACAGCCTCCAGTGATAGCTTTACGATCGGTGATTAAGGTTACCCATAACCTGTCAAGTTGATTGATTACGCATGACCCCGCTAATTGGATTTACGATCCCCAATTAGCTCTTTATGGCAGATCCGGCAGGTCCGGCACACTTCCTCTGAGCGCCTCTGCTCCTTCTGCCGCTCCAGTCACACCGTAGCAGAGTTAACACAGCGGGAAAGCTATCACGTCCTTTGACAAACACTCGGAGTACAGGTTTGTCTAGTTACAGTTGATTATTCCAACAATTCTCCGGAAAATCCAGGACTACTTGCAGCCATGACAAACTGCGTCCTTTCCCCTCACAGCACAGAGAGGAACAGCAAACTCCTCCCAAACTCCTCCCAGCTTCGAAAGCTGACGTCAGAATGTTGTGGCATCATGGGAACAACTTAACCTGTTAAGTTCCAAACTCCACATTTTATCATTGCATCATGCAGACTGCAGCAATATTATTGCAAAAGATGCCTCTTACTTTTTGGGGGGGGCATGGAATCTTTGCAGACAATGCTGGTAGGCTCATTTCCTGCTCATTTCTGGCAATCGCCAGGACTAAAGAACAGCTGTGCCATTCAATACAATATTCAGCCCATGCCTCTCCAACTGTCTCCTGCTTGAAGCTTCTTCTTGCTCCCTGATGGATTTGAGCTCCAGCATTTAACCAGGAGTTACCTGGTGGGTTTTTGAGGGAGCCTAAGCTCAGCCCTTGCACCAGAGTCACACAGTCTCTGTTCTAGCCAGGTATTTTCTACTTTATGCAGAGTGGTCCTCTGATTCTCAGGGAGAGGGTCTTCCAGATCATTGGCGACAACCTGGACCTTTATAACATGGAGGTGAAAAGGACAGAAATCGAGACCTTCTGCATGCAAAGCAGAGTAATAAAATTGCAGAGTTGGAAGGGACCCCAAGGATCATCCAGTCCAATCCCCTGCGATGCAGGAATAAATAGGAGCTTACCTTATTCCAGTGGTTCTCCAAGGGTGTGGCAGGCTGGTGTGGCAGGAGAGCATGGCAAGAGTGGCAGGAAGTTTCAAGGACAGTCATAATAATAATAATAATAATAATAATAATAATAATAATTTATTATTTATACCCTGCCCATCTGGCTGGGCCTCCCCAGCCACTCTGGGCGGCTTCCATAGAAACAAAAAAGACAGTAAAATATCACACGTTAAAAACTTCCCTGAACAGGGCTGCCTTAAGATGTCTTCTGAATGTCAGGTAGTTGTTTATCGCTTTGACATCTGCTGGAAGGGCGTTCCACAGGGCGGGTGCCACTACCGAAAAGGCCCTCTGCCTGGTTCCCTGTAGCTTTGCTTCTCGCAATGAGGGAACCGCCAGAAGGCCCTCGGCGCTGGACCTCAGTGTCCGGGCAGAATGATGGGGGTGGAGACGCTCCTTCAGGTATACTGGGCCGAGGCCGTTTAGGGCTTTAAAAGTCAGCACCAACACTTTGAATTGTGCTCGGAAACGTACTGGGAGCCAATGTAGGTCTTTCAAGACCGGTGTTATATGGTCTCGGCGGCCGGCCTCAGTCACCAGTCTAGCTGCCGCATTCTGGATTAGTTGTAGTTTCCAAGTCACCTTCAAAGGTAGCCCCACATAGAGCCCCCCATCTTTCAGGATACGTCCCGCGGCGACCTGGAAGTACCGGAAAGGGTTACTTCCGGGTTTCGCCACTCGTGCATGCGCAGAAGTGCAAAATGACGTCATGCGCAGAAGCATTGCAGTAGTCCAAGCGGGAGATAACCAGAGCATGCACCACTCTGGCGAGACAGTCCGCAGGCAGATAGGGTATCATCTGCGTACCAGGTGGAGCTGGTAAACAGCTGCCCTGGACACAGATTTGACCTGTGCCTCCATGGACAGCTGTGAGTCCAAAATGACTCCCAGGCTGCACTTGGTCCTTCAGGGGCACAGTTACCCCATTCAGGACCAGGGAATCCTCCACACCTGCCCGCCTCCTGCCCCCAAAAAACAGTACTTCTATCTTGTCAGGATTCAACCTCAATCTGTTAGCCGCCATCCATCCTCCAACCGCCTCCAGACACTCGCACAGGACCTTCACCGCCCTCACTGGTTCTGATTTAAAAGAGAGGTAGAGAGTCAAAGAAACATTTAAACATTTCAGCATAGTATAGTAAATTTGTTTGGATGTTCACCCAGAAACAGAATCCACGCCTCTCTTCAAGAGCATTTTTATATTCTTCTACCGTTCTCCACGACATATTGTTGTGAACAGGGATTTTCAATCTGACAAATAGGCAAGATCAGAAAAGAGCAAGGCTTCTTTGCGCTGATGAGATGAGCATTTGTTTGTCCCAAATTAGACCTAATATACCGTACCTTTCCCGTGTACAAGACGAAGTTTTTTTTACTCTAAAATTATGTTCAAAAACTTGCCTCGTCTTATACAGTGTTACCTCTAGTTGCGAATGGGATCTGTTCCGGAGGCCTTTTCGCAACATGAAAAGAGTGCAACCCGCAGCGACGCGTCTGCTCATGCGTGGGTCGCGATTTGCCGCTTCTGCGCATGACGTCATTTTGCACTTCTGCGCATGCACGAGTGGCGAAACCCGGAAGTAACCCTTTCCGGTACTTCCAGGTCGCCGCGGGACGTATCCTGAAAGAACGTAACATGAAGCAGACGTAATGTGAGGTATGACTGTACATGGATAGTGAATGGGGTGGGCAGGTGATTGGCTCCAGCTGCAAGCAGGAGTTTGTCAGTGACAATTGTTGGCTGCTAAAAGGGCTGCTTTAGATTGGCTACTGCTTCTCTAATTGGGTTGGTGATTGGCTTCTGCAGCAAACACTGTAAAACTCTGGGCAATCTGCAAAAAAAGCTCAACAACTCTGAGCCATCTCTCATTTTCTTAACTTTCTCATCCCATTTTCTTAAATTTGAGTCCCCCCAAACAGGGGGCGTCTTATAGACAAAAAAGTACAGTAAGTGCGACTACCCGTAAGCTCACATCTCTGTGACTTTGTATATATGCAGCTTGAACCTGTGACGCAAACATCCCCTGCGATGTGCCTGCATGGCTGCAACAGAACTTTGAGGACTCCCATCCCCTTCACTGAATTGGGGGGGGGGCGGCGTTTGCTATGTAAGAGGTTCGTTTATAATTATATTTTGAGAATGATTCCTGTTCTTATGTAGCTGCCTTGTTTTACACTTTCTCAGTGCCCCATGATCACATTATAAAGTCGTGTCCTATGTTATAAACTGAGCACTGCAAGTTCTTCCTTATTGTTTTCCAGCGTATTTCTTATCAATACAAAATTCAGGCTAAGTTGAAGGTGCTGGTTTTGGTGTGTATAAAGCCCTAAAACAGCTGGGGACTGAAAGACCACCCACCCCCTTATATACTCAATGGATCGCTTCCCCCTGCAGATGAGAGACTCCTTCAGATACTACCTTATCAGGAGGTCCAGTTCCTATGAGATAGGAATCAGGTCTTTAGTGTGGGGGCACTGACCCTTTGTAATTCCCCCCCCCACCTGAATATTAGTCAGGCACAGACTCTGTAGTCTTGTCAGCACCCGCTGAAGACTTTCCTTTTCCAGCAAGCTGTTGAAGTCAAGATCTTTCCCAGGTTGCATCTGTACTGGAATTGTTTTAATATGTTTGTATCACTTGTTGTTTGCTGCCCTGAGGTCCTCTGGGAGGAAGGGCCGCTGGACAGAACTTAAAGAAAACAATGTTTTCATCAAGATATGCATTTTTATATACCGTATTTTTTGCTCTACAAGACTCACTTTTTCCCTCCTAAAAAGTAAGGGGAAATGTGTGTGCGTCTTATGGAGCGAATGCAGGCTGCGCAGCTATCCCACAAGCCAGAACAGCAAGAGGGATTGCTGCTTTCACTGCGCAGCGATCCCTCTTGCTGTTCTGGCTTCTGAGATTCAGAATTTTTTTTTTTTTGTTTTCCTCCCAAAACTAGGTGCGTCTTATGGTCTGGTGCGTCTTATAGAGCGAAAAATACGGTACCTTATGGTTGGAGAACTGTGCCTCCAAATTTGGAGAAGTTTGAACTTTGAAGCTAAAAAAGCCAATGCAATTCTGGGCTGCATCAATAGGAGTATAGCATCTAGATCAAGGGAAGTAATAGTGCCACTGTATTCTGCTCTGGTCAGACCTCACCTGGAGTACTGTGTCCAGTTCTGGGCACCACAGTTCAAGAAGGACCCTGACAAACTGGAACGTGTCCAGAGGAGGGCAACCAAAATGGTCAAAGGCCTGGAAACAATGCCTTATGAGGAACAGCTAAGGGAGCTGGGCATGTTTAGCCTGGAGAAGAGGAGGTTAAGGGGTGATATGATAGCCATGTTCAAATATATAAAAGGATGTCACGTAGAGGAGGGAGAAAGGTTGTTTTCTGCTGCTCCAGAGAAGCGGACACGGAGCAATGGATCCAAACTACAAGAAAGATGATTCCACCTAAACATTAGGAAGAACTTCCTGACAGTAAGAGCTGTTCGGCAGTGGAATTTGCTGCCAAGGAGTGTGGTGGAGTCTCCTTCTTTGGAGGTCTTCAAGCAGAGGCTTGACAACCATATGTCAGGAGTGCTCTGATGGTGTTTCCTGCTTGGCAGGGGGTTGGACTCGATGGCGGCCCTTGTGGTCTATGCCAACTCTATGATTCTATGATTCTAAGGTTAGGTGTTTCAGTTCACTTATTGATTTGGGAGATATGGATCGGGTAGGTTTGCCTACTAGCACTCCTCTCTCCCATCCTTACCGCCTAATATCATCAAGCCGTTTATTGGCATCACATACAAACATCTAAAACAAATCAAGACAGAGTTACTACTTCCCCAGTGGCACAAAACATTTGCTAAAAGAAAGGAGGCAGAACAGTCTATCGTCACATCTCTTGGTCTCCAGGGAGATCAGACGTCTGCAGTGTATTTTGACGACAAAAAAACTAAATAGAGATATCTAGCCACTAACTTGGTGAGCTCCTGATCATTCCCCAGTAATAGAAAATGTATGACCTCCAACTCTAGTTTCCATTTGGGGATACAGAGTTGGTCTAGAAATTGCTGGCGGAGATCGGCATATAGTTTAAAATTAAGAACCATATATGTAAGGGTTTCCACCAGGTGGTCTTCACATGGGCAAGTTCTTTCTCCTTCCACATCTGGAGAGGTGACTGCTCACTGACAGAGCACCGGTTTTGCACTCAGAATTCTCCAACTCACTCCCCAGGATTTTGACTCAAAAGGATTGCAGGATTGAGATACCCTGACCAGCGGCTAAGAGCCAGGAGAGACCTCACTGGGCTGACTCAGGAGAAGGCAGCTTCATATGCCTACCCCCAAACCCAAGCTTCTGACCATCCCTCGACCCACACACTTCAGCTGAGACAGTTGAGATTCTCCAGAAGTTGAACAAAGCACCCCATACCCGTTCCTGCACTTTCCTGACCCAATCGTGGAGCAAGTGTGATGACTTCTGTAGACTCACCATAACATGACATGTTCCAAACAACACTTCCCCTGGAGTCAGACTAACTTGCCCCAGTGTAACTGACACAAACTTTTAATAAACACACAATGCCACAGGATATATTATTGTCAATGTAAGCTTTCTTTTATACAAAAGCAATTACTCCTGGAAGGAAGTGTCCCAGCCCTTACTGGTTCTCTTCTTTGAGAGTCCATGTAATCCAGTAGTGACAGCGTCGGGGTTTAGAACAGCCAGTCCACCCGACTCTCTTGGACGAGGTCGTTATCTCAGTTCTCTGTCCGTAAAATGGGCACATTAAGGCGCCACTTCCCTGTGTTGTTACTATACGTAAAGGGGATATCGTGATGAAATTGTAGGGCGTCGCTGCTTCCTCCATGAGGATAAGAAGGGTTCAACCATAAAGAGTCTCCTTCTCTCTGTAGCAGAAAAAGGCAGCCTCCTCTTGCTGGTGCCGTTGCCCAATTTCCCACTGCTCTTCATCTTGAACCAGCAAAACAGAACCACAGGCCTCCCTCCAGGAAGGAAATATAAGACGTTGCACCCAAGGTGGTATGCAGTGTCTAATGATCAGCTTGGGGATCCTATTATTACTGACAGGTGGGTTGTATGTTTATGTATAATATTTATATCTTGCCCTTTGCCAAATGGCACTTGGGCAGCTAACACCAAGTAGTATGTACAAAAGAAGGAACGGATAAAAGTGCCAAAACACAGCACGAGGAAGTCTCCTCTGTCTTCAGTCTCGTTCTGTTCACATAGCAGCTGGGACTCATGCTTAACCTCTGCAGCTCGGCCTCTTCTTTTGGTGGAATAGAAATTGCTTCTGGTGCATTGGTCAAGCAGCTGACTCCTGGACCACTGACGGAGAGCTGGTGCCAGATTCTCTGCGGGCTCCACTCTCCTTCTTTTTTAACATGAAGTATAGAATGCAAAGCAATGCAAAGCAGCTTGCTTCCAAAAAAATCTGAAGGCCAACAAACCTGAGGGCCCAAAAAATTAAAAGGAAGAAATCAGTGAGGTCAAAGGGACCACAGTGCAGTATCTACCTGCCTGCCTAGCCATCCTTCCATTTTAAAATGGATGCCAAGCCTCCTTCTCCACTCCCCAGGAATCCAAATTCTGCCACATGCCCTGCCTTGGGCTTGAAAGGACTACTGTGGCTAAAATTAAGATTCATACAACTAGCCCTATCTTCTGACCTAGAGGAAACTTCTGAAAGTCATCGTTATCTGAAGACACGGCCAGCACAGAAGGAGGAAACTCAGTAAAGCCAAAAGCAGTTGAAGGGCAAGTGTTATGCACCTGGCCACCTGAACAGATGGCCAGTCTTGTGGGACTTTACATCTATTTTGCTTTGTCTTGTTTTCACTTTGCTGTATTTTAAAATTGCTGTGCCATGAGATCAGTTGCAATGAGGGGCAGGGTATGCATTCTTTAAAATAAGCAAACTCCATCTTTTGCTGTTGCCTTTCCACCTGACCCTTGTCTGTAGATGGTATTGATGCCACAAACACACACCCCAAATTAGTGACCTGTTATGGGGACAAAGACAGGGGCTCAGTAGGAGGCTTACCTGTGCCGGAATAATACATTGTTATAGTATCTGCAGGCTGTTCTCTTTTGGCACTTGTATTGCCACAGGACGCAGGCTGTGTCAATGAGGCTACCGTACACCACTGGGGCAGGCAACCAGGCTAGAAAAGCAAGCAAGAAGTTCATGCCACATAAGAGTTGGCCTCCCCCAGACCTTTCCAACAGCAGCCCTGATATCGCCGGATTTCAGCCTGGACCACACTTGGCCATTTTGCAGGTTTTGGAGAACTGAAAGGGGTTAGAGAAGCACTGCGTTGAAGTCACCCAAACAGCTTGCAAAGTGCTTGCTGGCCTCGCAGTAAGGAATAGGGAAATAGCCATGCAGTTTCATTGCAGGGCAGAAGAGAGTCACTGTACCACACGATGCATGGGGCCCCAATCACTGGCATCCTCTTTTGGAGCAGCCTGAATAAGGAAGGCACTTCATTATTACATATGCCTGCAACTCTGTATTGTTTTTAATATTCGGTTGGAAGCTGCCAAGAGTGGCTGGGGAAACCCAGTCAGATGGGTGGGGTATAAATAATAAATTATTATTATTATTATTATTATTATTATTATTATTATTATTACTACTACTACTACTAATGGAAAGAGCAGTTTCATCTCAGTTTGTTACTGGCTGATCTAGATAAGAGAGACAGGTGCCTCCACCCCATATCTACGCCACTGCATGTTTACTGTATTCCATTGTAGTAAGAGCAATGATTGTATTTCAGGTCCCCTGTCCCTCCATGTGTGTCTTTAAAAATAAATAAATATTTGGTTGTATGTGTGTGTCTTTAATTTGAGGGGCTCAGTAAAAGGTACTGGGGTAAGTTAAATTGCAATGGAAATGTACGTGTGGCAGGGGGACAACCACCTATCAAAGGTACTGGTGGGAGCCAAATGATCCCAACATGGTTAACACTTTCCTTTAACAGTGCAATAGCTATATCTCCACATTTGGGGATGAGGTGCAACCAGAAGTGATTTTAGACACAGTTGGTGGAACTGCCTTGAAGCTAAAAGAAACTGGCAAGAAACAACAACCAATACAAGATCTGTTTTGAAACGCCAGGTTCAGAAAGACTTCTGAATATTTCTGTTTATGTAGTTGAAAAGTGCAACACCCAGTGAAGAGGGAAATTTGTTATTTCAGATGATAGTGGTAGCACCAATTCCATATGGAAAATATTGTTGGAGAAAGGAAATGCCCCCATTTGACGGAATGTCACATCAAATTGTGGGAAATGGCTGTTTTGAGTAAAATTACTTGTGTTTCTTTCAGTTCCACAAGCAAAAAAAGAGGGTAAACAGATCTGAAGAGGACTGGACACAACTTAGATAACTTTGGGTTAGTAAGCAGGTGGCGGTTATTATAATTCTCAATTTTATGAAATGTGATTATGATTGCTTTTAAGGCTTACATTTTCTCTTTCTACTCATTTTTTAAATTTTACCACCTATTTCCCCCCTATTTTTATCTTTTTTATAATTAAGAATTAGATGGACATTTCTATATTATTATTGATTACATATATTATAATCTCATGAATTGTGTGTGTGTATTTACTATGATTTATTTGTCATTAAGAAAACTGATGATAGCATATGTTTGATTTTAAAACAAAACAACAACACCTACTTTATGTTGATGTGACAGATAAAATAAGGCGGTGTTAGCTATTTCATATACAGTCATACCTCGGGTTGAAGCAGCTTCAGGTTAAGGATTTTCGGGTTGCGCTCTGCGGCGACCTGGAAGTAACGGAGCATGTTACTTCCGGGTTTCGCCGCTCGCACATGCGCACTCAAAATGATGTCACGCGCATGCACAGAAACAGTGAATCGCGCATGTTCGGACTGCGTTCACTTCATGATGCGAACGGGGCTCCAGAACAGATCCCGTTCGCATCCAGAGGTACCACTGTATTTTGGTTCTTTTTCTCAAGAAGGGTTTGAGTTGAAGAAAAACATTGCATTAGTAAGCAGGGGTCTGCCAAGCACAATGGGAATTACTGTATTTTTTTGTGTATAAGACTAGGTTTCCCCCCTAAAAAATAATGTCCAAAATGTGGGGGCATCTTATACACAGGGGCCATCTCCCCCATTTTCTTAAATTGGAGTCCCCCAAAATAGGGGTCGTCTTATACATGGGGGCGTCTTATAGATGGAAAAATACGGTAATATTGTTTGGGGGGGATCATTACATTATCACCCCTGCATAATTGCACACCTGTACTATAAAAAACTTATGTTGTATCTTAAATTTGGAATAATTATTCAGTATAGTGTGTGCGTGCTTTGACTATGAATTTATTGGGGCCTATTGGACCCCAGTCAAATCTGTAAATGCTTCTTGCATGTGTCCACAAGTTAAAATGCACAGAAAGCAAAGATTGCTCTGGCTTCTGAGATTTCACCCTGCACACTCAACAAGTGTTCAAGTTTTCTGTACAACCACCAAGGCTGGAAATTTCCTTTTCAGGATGCGAAATTCACCACCAAACAGCAAACTGACTGTGCCCCAAACACACACGCACCACTTGCCTCTGACTTACCTAGAACTCTCTGCATGAGGAACTGTATCCCAATGGCAAAAGACTTATCTTCAGGGTCAACGTTTCTGAAAGAGAAAGCCAACAGGGATTGGTGGGAGCCCAAGGGGCATGTCTGCAGAAGGCTGTGAGCCCTTGGGGACTCTTCAGGCTAGGTGATCTGCTGCTACGCTAGAAAACAACTGCTTGCAAAAATGTGCACATTAGTTGAAACTGCATGCAAAAATGTGCTTATTGAGAGAAATCCACAACAGAACGTGGGTAAATTTTCATGAGGGTTAATAACCATATATATGCAAATTGCTGCAGAAATCTGGAAAACTGAATTTAAGATTGGAAGTTGGGGGGGGATCAACTAAGAGAATTGAAATGGACAGATCCTTCCAGCCCTTGTTCCATCTTTCTGCACATGAGGTGTATTTTTCAGAAGAGATTCTGTTCTCTTTCCCTTGCTGCTCCTAATGGCTGGAACTTCTTTTCGAAACACTTTGTGGTAGCACTTCCTTCTCGCTCTCTCCCTTAAACCCCCCCCCCCCGAAACTCACTTTTCACAGGAGGCTTATGCCCTTATTGCTTACTCCCACTGAACTAAGCTCAAGAGAGAGCATTTAGCTGCATTTGTTCATATTCATATTTTTGCTTCCTTTGCCTTTCCCATTCCTGCCCCATAGCTGCCATTTCTTCCATTGTCAAAGTTTAGACTATAGGCTCTTTGGGGGCTAGGAGTCTGTCGGTGAAGTGCCATGTAATTCCCGGTGAACACTAATCAATAAAAAAACTGGGCATAAACTGTTGGTTGTTGTTTTTTAATGAGCCATCTCTTCCCTCCCCTTTGTGAAGGACAGGCATTCAAATACAGCAGAGCCCACAAACGCATCTGATCTAGATTCCTTGACAGAGAAATGCCACTGCTCGAATGTTCCTAGGAAGCACTTTTAAAATGTCACGAAGTACCTCAGAACAAGCACGAAGCCCGGCGTGTGTGCGAGGCTCCCCAGGAAGGTGGACAAGGAGGCGATGGTCACAAAAGGCATCAGGAATTTGGAACAGTGGAAGCTGCAGCTCCCAGGTGTAGCGTATCCATAGCCGCCGTCGACAACAATGCAGTTGCAACTGGTGTAGTTCTGAGGGAAGGGGCAGGACGTCAGAGAAGGAACAACGGCAACAGTACCAGGGGCAGGTGGGAGGAAAGGTTAAGACTGATCTCCTCCTTCCCTTCTCCCCATTGCCATTCCCCCATCTTGAAGAAGGAGCACCCATTAATCTAAAAGCGTGAATCACAGACGAAGAAGAAGGAGAAGAGGAGGAGGAGTTTGGATTTGATATCCCGCTTTATCACTACCCGAAGGAGTCTCAAAGCGGCTCACAATCTCCTTTCCCTTCCTCCCCCACAACAAGCACCCTGTGAGGTGAGTGGGGCTGAGAGACTTCACAGAAGTGTGACTAGCCCAAGGTCTCAGTCTCAGTCAGTTTTATTGCACATAGCCAAAGGCTGCCGCAATGTACACAGAATTATTTGACAATTAAAAGAAAATATACTGAATTGGTAAAAAAAAGACTTAAAACATTTATATTATTAAAACATTACGTACTCTAAACAAAGCTATAAAAGTACCCCAATGTACACATAAAAACATTAAACAATAAAATTCATAAGCTAAAATCATCACATGGTCACTAATGTTAAAAACAATATCAATTAATACAGTGTGCAATTTATACTCAGAGTTTGGTGACAAAGATAGCGCATAGCCTGAGGTAGATAGATAGGAACAAATAAATTCATCTCCTTTACAGTTAATGGCTGGTGTAGAGTTGGAAGGGACCCCAAGGGTCATCCAGCTCAAGCCTCTGCAATGCAGGAATCTTTTGCCCAGCATGGGGCTCATGTGTACTTCACATTCGCAGTGCCCATTTTCAAGCCTGCCTGAGGGATACTGACCCGGTATCCTGTATGTGGAGGGGACTGAGTGTGGTTCCTTAAGGCCTAGCGTGGCAGGCAAGAGCATGTAGCGGACTCTGGATGACAAAACAAAAGAGGGCAATTTGCAGCAGAGGCACGGAAGAGGTAGGGACACCTCCCACCTGATGCTTCTCCACTCCAAGCCCACCAGTTTCCTGACCATTTTCCTCTTGCAGGCTTCTTTACGAAGATCTAGAAGAATCTATACTCACCAGAACTTTCTGTGTTTCGGATTCGATATTTAGCCCCGTGCAGCCAGCGTAGCAAGGGGAGATGTATTCAATACCATTCGCACCGCACACAGGGTTATAGGCTGACGGGGAGCATTTGCACATGTGGTTACAATCGAAAACAAGTTCCTCAATTCCAGAACTGCAGAAGGAAGAGCACAGAATTAGGTCAGCAAGAGCATCATGGCCCTGGGACCTTTTTGCATGCACTTGCACAAAGGCTTATGCAAATATTTATTGGGGCTGTCATTCAGTACAAGACACCATAGTCAACTGATCGTATGAGTTTTACTTGATTAAATCGGCTTGCCTTTGCACATGAATTACATCTGAATACAGAAAGCTTTCCTACCTTCCTTCCTTCCTTCCTTCCTTCCTTCCTTCCTTCCTTCCTTCCTTCCAGAATCAGATTCCTGCAATGCTGGAATCTCAACTAAAGCATCCATGGCAGAGTCTTCGTATGTGATGCTTACACGTGTCACAGCGGGCGGCATCCCAGTGCCAGGAACTGCTGAGCACAGCAGCATGTGCTGAGAGGCGTAATTTCAGCCCCTCAGGCTAGAACCTTCTCGATCTGGACTGGCTCCATATTCCTAGCTTCCTTTATGAGCCGAACTTGTTGCTTGAGCTGTGGCTCTAGAGGACCTTTTCATTTCCAGTCTTCTTCTTCAGCCCTGACTTTCTCCATACTGCAGACACCCTTTAATTCCTAAATTTGCTGCTCTGGTGGCCTTGCATTTTTGCTAAGCTTAGTTCCTGGTTCTCTCTCTTCCCCCACCCTCCTCCCCTTCACTACCTCTGTGACAACAACTGATAAATCTAATTAATCATAGTATCTATAAAGCAATGTTGGGGAACCTTCTTCAGTCCAAGTGCCACATCCCCTCAGAGGCAACCCCTTCTGGGGGCTTCCTATCTGTGGTGGGAGTGTCTAGAGGCAGAAGAGGGGTGTGCAAAAGAGGGGTGTGTAAAAGATGTGACAGAAGGCCAAGAAAAGCCTGCACATTCACCCACAGGCCCCATGCCTATTATAGAGCGTCTTGGGACTAGATCCCATATACCAACAACTCCCAAACCCACGCAAACTTAGGAATGGGTCAGTGATGAGAAAAGCAAGAGGGGTCGATGAGAAATGGCAGAAATCAGAGGTAGTATGGAGAAGCATGAGAGGAGGAGTAGATGGGAATGCAAGATGGAAGAAGCTACGCAAGGTTGTTACCAGAATTTGGAGAAAGGTTGGGGGGTGGGGGTTGCCCCTCCAGCAGACATCATACATACCCCCACTACCAAAATCAACACAATCACGCCCGCAAATGTTCCCACAAAACACTTCATCACACAGTCCCCGCCCCCATCTCTATTCAAAGGGGTCTCCGCTGCACAATACCAAATGTAACCGTTCACTGATAAATGTATCTATGTATTGGCTGAACGGGAAAACTTTAGAAAGTCATATAAAATCACTCCAATATCGGATTTGTGCCATTCCAACTTTGTTCTGTTCAGGAAATGAATGACTACCAAGGGGGGAGTCTGGGAAGTGGGCAGCCATAATCCCTGAAGCCCAAGATCATGTACCCAGCAACCTCTGGCATGGGAGATAATTGCTGGCATCCTGGCTCTGAGTGCCAGACAGTAGCCATCCTAACCTCAGTTGGTTAGGATCTTGGTCAAGACAAAAGAGGTGCGGTTAACTTGGCCATGTACATACTCACCTTTACAGTGGTACCTTGGTTCTCAAACGCCTTGGTACTCAAAACAACTTGGAACCCAAACACTGCAAACCCGGAAGTAAGTGTTCCAGTTTGCGAACTTCTTTGGGAAGCCCAATGTGCTCCAATTTGAGTGCCACACTTCCATTTTGAGAGTTATGCTGAGGTCTGTCTGTTTTTGCTATTTATTTTGCAGTTTCATTTTTGCCGCTCTTTTTGTTTTGTTTTTGTGATTGTGTGGAACCCAGTTCAACTATTGATTGATTCACTGATTGATTGTGTGACTGCAGTACATTGTTTATTGCTTTCATTTTATGGATCAATGGTCTCGTAAGATAGTAAAATTCATGTTAAATTGCTGTTTTAGGGGTTGCTATTAAAAGTCTGGAACAGATTAATCCATTTTGCATTACTTTCTATGGGAAAGCGCACCTTGGTTTTGGAAAGCTTTGGTTTTGGAATGGACTTCCGGAATGGATTAAGTTTGAGAACCCAGGTACCACTGTACTTAATCAGTGTGAAGTGGAGGTCAAGGTATGGACAGGGGCAAACCTGATGCTCAGGTTTCTGCCAGAAGACCCCTCCCAGGTTATGAAATAGCTGTGATGTATATATGATGTATGTATGATGCTTCACTAAGGGTGTTGTGGGTAAAAAGGGAAACTTATAAAAAAGGGAGCCATCCTTTGTTCGGGGCTTCTTCCTGCTTTTTCCATGTGGTGGCTGAAAGTCCTGCAACAGTCTTCTAAATAAAGATCAGTCCTACAGGCTGCTGTTTTGCTCCTATATTCCTAGCTGGTGTCTTTGTTTGGCAATGCAAGTGAGCCCAAGGATTTTCCTATAACAAGGTGTAGACAGAAAATGGGTTTCCTGCAGAGCAAAGAGGAGGGAGTGCCAAAGAAAAAAGGAAGACTTAAGGAAGGAGCCAGGAATCGAGGCATGTCAACTGAAAATCCCTACAGTTAAAGACTTTCATTTTTCTTCAAACCTACACTTCTATGGCCTTAAACTGGATAACTTGCCCACATCTTCCTTTAAACAGGCATGCTTGTATACCTTCCAGAAAGGTCAAGTCCTGCCACCGTCTGCGTCTGGCAGCCCAAGAAGAAGAGCGGCACGTCACAGATGGTACAGAGACCCATGCTGATTACGCTCATCAGGGCGATCTGGGTGAGGGAGAGGCGGCAGTTCCTTATGATGGCACCTCCAAGGGCGATTCCGAACATGCCACTCGGGATGTTGATAGCTCCTATGGGATGGTGGTGATGATTTGTTAAATTTGTATACCAACCTTCACACGAAGATCGCAACATAAAACTACAAAATCAGAACACAAAATACATTTTTAAAAAGCAACGATAACCCTGCCTGTTCCTTCTTTGTTTCCTGCTTGGCAGGGGGTTGGACTCGATGGCCCTTGTGGTCTCTTCCAACTCTATGATTCTATGATTCTTTAAACTACAGGGGTTTTGTTACAATCAAGTGGTATGTGGATTTTGTTAGATATATAAAGAATGCAGAGATCCACCAGCAGAACAACCTTTTCCTGCCCACAGCCCGCTTCTTTTAAAGTGGCTTCTTTAAAAAGGGGTGGAACTGGGCGGGGGTGGGTGTTTGCAGTTTTTCCTAACGGTGCTTCAAACATACGTGATTTCACCGATGTGCACGGTGCCTCGGGACGTAACCCCCTTGTAAATGGGGGGGGGGGGTTGGCCTGTACAGTTGCACCCACATTCCTGCACTTCTCTTGGGCACGTATTTGCCATTTTAGAGCAGGCATTCCACGTACAACCAACAACAGATTGACAAGGGTTTCTGATTCCCAGTTGTTTAAGAACAGTGACCGTGAAAAAGCTCTTGCGCCCACATTGAACCACTGAAAGAAATCTGGGTGGGAGGAAACCAGGAGTTCTTTTTGTGTCAAAAGCTCAGGCCTGGTACTGAAAAGCAAATTCCTGGGCTGAGTATACACTCAGACTCAGATGCCCACCCCTACTTTCCTCTGGGCTCTTGGGAATCCATTAGATTCCCAAAGTACACTCTACAACAAAAGCCTAAAGACTGCTCACCACCTGATGCAGAGCGCAATCCCTTCCCATCTCTTGACAAAGAGATGTAGGAATAGCATTGTTTTCTCCATTGATTTCAATGGGTTTACCCTGAGTAAAACTTAGCTGGATACCACTCATGTTTTTTGCCCTGAAAAAATTGAACGCTGCCAAAATTTGGCACAACACTGCCCCTTACTCAACGCGACAGGAATGGGATCTAAATGACCTTGAGATCTTGTGATCTGGAAACAAGGAAGTAGCACACACCTAGGATCATGTTGGCAACAGATGCTGGACAGGGAGAACTGCCTCTCCAGCAGTTTGGCCATGAAGGTTGCTATGCCAGCAATCATGCCAGAGAGATTGACCATGGCCAAGATGACCACAACCAAGATGGGGTTCTTCATCAGCCTCATGAAAACCACAGGAAACACTGCAACAGAAGAAAGAGTAGCAAATTATAATTAATAATAATAATAGGCATTATTCTGTTGCTGTTTCTTGCTGCTACAGACTAAGTAGGTAGTTCTCAAAGTGGGTGCTTCTGCTCCTGGGGGGCAGTGGGAATACCTAAGGGGTGCTAAGTGGCAAGGGGACACCAGAAGTATAAATGAGTGCCAGACTTTGAAAAGCTGGTGTCACTGGATCAAGTTAATCAATTTTTGTTGAATTCGTTAAACTAAATAGTTTTAATTGGGTTTTAAATAAATTTGCAACTACTGTTTGGAATTCTGAATTTTGTTGTGTTATTATCTTCTTTGTGGGTTGTGCACACCATTTTTCTGAATAATGTTCTTTATTGGGTAGGGTAGAGGGAACTGGGTATAGGTTTATGGAACCAAGTGGGCGATGGCGTGAAAAAATTGGGAGCCACTCGACTAACTCTTTTTTGCCTTGAAGCGGCAGCAACAGCAAGTATGGTAATTTAGGTAGCTTATGGTAGTTTAGGCAGCCAACACAGAGTGGCAACGTAATGTATATGTAGGAAGGAATGGCAGTTTAGCCTGTCCAACCAAATCTGTTGCTCAGACTAAAGAACTAGCTGGGGCTTAAAAGGACTTGAAAGGGTCTGTTTAGCATGGAAAAGAGGAGACTTGAGATATGAGAGCCACCTTCAAATATCTTAAGGGCTGTCACATGGAGGATGGAGCAAGCTTGTTTTCTGCTGCTCCAGAAGGGAGGGCCAAAACCAATGGATTTAACTAACAAGGAGTTTCTGACTAAATATTAGGAAGAAATTGCTGACAGCAAGAGCTGTTTGGCAGTGGAACGGTCTCCCTCGGGAGGTGACAGACTCTCCTTCCTTGGACGTTTTGAAGCAGAAGTTGGATGGGCATCTGTCATGGATGCTTGAGCTGAGATTCCTGCATTGTAAGGGGCTGGGCTAGATGACCCCTGGGGATCCCTTCCACCTCAACAATTCCATGATTCTATGACCAGTGGAGCCAGTATGGTCAGCCGACTGAGTGCTAAGTGAGGTGTTTGAGGCTTGTATGGCAGTTGACACTGTGCCCTTCAGGAACCTGCATTCAGAGGACATGTGGTAAGTTACGCTGTCAGGTGACTAAGAAATGGGCGGCGGGGGGGGGGGGATCTGCAAGGCTTGCAGAGGAAAGAGTTCCCTGGTGGTTGGGCAGGAAGGCTCTGAAACCTAGCTGGTGGAAGCCCAGGTCACACAGAGAGACACCCACACCCACACAGAGAGACACTCCCCCCTTCCCTACTCCTTTTTCCTTTATATGGAGAAATTCCAATGGCAGAATAGTAGTGCCAGTAGAAACCCTTGATCCACAGAGGATGATGGCATGGCCCAACGAGTCAGGCCACCCCTCACATGAGCAGACTTTGCGGTCAACAACATCCCCGCAAAGACTTCTGCCAATGTACAAGGTGTTGTTCCTTGGCAGGTCATCAGACATCATTTTATTTGTATGCCGCCTTTCCACAACTCAAACAAATGCTCAAGGCGGCCTACAACATCATCATCACCATCACCATCATTTTTTATTTATACCCCACCCTCCCCAGCCAAGGCTGGGCTCAGAGCGGCTTACAAGCAATAATAAAAACAAGATGAATGATTACGACTTAAAAACAAAAATAAAATACAACATTAAAATAATGGAACATTAACATATTAAAATGTAGCCTCATCGCAGGAGGAGAGGAAAAGAAAAAAGAAAGAGAGGGAGGGAGGGAATCAAATTGGCTCCAAGCCAAAGGCCAGGCGGAACAACTCTGTCTTACAGGCCCTGCGGAAAGAAATCAGATCCTGCAGGGCCCAGGTCTCTTGAGACAGAACGTTCCACCAGGCCAGAGCCAGAGTTGAAAAGGCCCTGGCTCTGGTTGAAGCCAATCTAACTTCCTTAGGGCCCGGGACCACTAGGGTGTTGCTATTTATGGACCTTGAGGCTCTCCGTGGGGCATACCGGGAGAGGCGGTCCCGTAGGTACGAGGGTCCTAGGCCGTGAAGGGCTTTAAAGGTCAAAAGCAGCACCTTAAATCTGACCCTGTACTCCACCGGGAGCCAGTGCAGCTTGAAAAGCACTGGGTGAATATGCTCCCATGGCAGGGACCCCTGTGAGGAGCCTCGCTGCATTCTGCACCCGCTGGAGTTTCTGGGACAGCTTCAAGGGCAGCCCCGCGTAGAGCGAATTACAGTAGTCAAGCCTGGAGATGACCGTCGCATGGATCACTGTGGCCAGGTCGGGGCGGGAAAGGTAAGGGACCAACTGCTTGATGCGGCGAAGGTGGAAAAATGTCGCCTTGGCTGTTGCTGTAACTTGCGCCTCCATGGAAAGGGAGGCGTCAAGGATTACACCCAAACTCTTAACGGAAGGCAATGGCACTAATTGGGCCCCCGCAAGAGAAGGGAGTTGGTCCCTCATCCCCATGCCATCCCGACCCAGCCATAGGACCTCTGTCTTTGAAGGATTTAGTTTCAATCGGCTCCCACGAAACCATCCAACCACAGCTTCCAAGAAAAACAAACACACATAACTTCAACAAAAGTAGTCATAAACAGGAAGCAAAGCATTAAAAAATATATAACCAAACTGAACAATTTCCACGTAAATCATAACAGGATCTAAAATGAAGATACAGTGGTACCTTGGTTTGAGAACAGCTTAGTTTATGAACAACTTGGATTAAGAATGCTGCAAACCCGGAAGTAGGTGTTTCGGTTTGTGAACTTTGCCTTGGAAGCAGAACATGTTCCGCTTCCTGTTGAGTGTGTTCCATTGTAAATTGAGTCCCCTGCTGCTATGGGAAAGTACACCTTAGTTTAAGAACACTTTGGTTTAAGAACGGACTTCTGGAACGGATTAAGTTCGTAAACCAAGGTACCACTGTACAAAAAACCACCAACAACTCCTCAGCCCAAGAGTCTTTTGCAGTTCAGCTGATAAAGCACCCCCTTCCCTCTGGGTGGTAAGCTCAGGAGCTGCTGGATTCCTCTATTGCAGTAGAATGCTTTGCACAGTGATCTCTCTCTCTCTCAATCTCTCTCTCTCTCTCTCTCTCTCTCTCTCTCTCTCTCTCTCTCTCTCTCTGGAATTTGTCTCCCTGGCTGATTAACATTTTCTTGGCCGTCCAGAAGCACAGTGGCAGATTGGAAGCATATTGTTATCTGATGGAAATAAAACTTGCTAGGCTAAAAGTAGGAACAGGGCATTTAGCTTAATCCGGAGGAGAAAGAGAGTGCTTTATTGGACCGGACAGCGAATGTTCCCCATTACTCTGCCTGATAACAGATCTCTAAATCAATCTTAAGTACGCTGCATCCCAACAGAGCTTTAAAGCTGCAGTTTTACAGCGTGTCTGGAATTTCCCCTGCAATCGTGGAGAAAGTTATAGGCTCGTCTTTGGCCCTTTATCGCTTTATCATGATGCAGATTAGTAGTCTGGTGGCTGGTTAAAATCTGCCGGTGTTACTAAGAAGAGCCGTTCAGTTGAAATTCTCCACAAACCTATTTTTCCCTGAGCAAATGGATGCAGGGCCATTACGAAGGAACTGGAGGAAGCCATAGTGATTTCAGCCAAACCTCCTTCCACAGCAGCAGTGTAAGTCTGAATGTTCACAGTGTCTACTACATGCCGGCCTAATTAGAAAATTTACTCTATCTATTGTTTGCAGATCCAGTTATTAATTCTGAAAAAAGCAACTTCACTAGTGATGGGATGAAGCCTAAATATACATTTCCCGGGAAATGTCTCTACCTTCTCCCATATGGGATCTTGGTAACCTGGAAAGGTTTTCTGATTCTTATGTAACTAGATCCAGAATGTAGCCAACATTTCTCTTGGAGACCCGCCCCCCTCTCAAGAATAGGGGTGGAGGAGAAATTTAATTCTATTTGCATCAGAAAGAACCTTCTGACAGTGAGAGTGGAATCGTCTCCCTCGGGAGGTTGTGGACTCTTCTTCCTGGGAGGCGTTTAAGTAGAGGTTGGATGGCCAGCTGTCATGGATGCTGTAGCTGAGATTCCTGCATTGTAGGGGGTTGGACTAGATGACCCTTGGGGTCCCTTCCAAGTCTATGATACTATGATTTCAATGAGAAACTATGTAATTCCCAGTTCTCAGACCAATATGTGAACCAAACCACAGCCATCCTTAGAAATTTACATTTTTTTAAAAAAAAAATCAATTACCCAACCAAATAATATGTACAATAATGCATATATTGGGTGAAATGTGCATAAAATGCATACATTCGTAAAAATAACATGGAGATGCGTTATTATAGCATGGGGAAATGCTTGCAGAAAAGTGCATATTAGCCAAAAGCACAGACAAAAATGTAAAAAAATTAAATCCTTCCAGTAGCACCTTAGAGACCAACTAAGTTTGTTATTGGTCCATTTCATGCGGCTCAATGTGGTGCCTTCCATAGTTCTAGTTACAGGTAGGTAGCCGTTTTTTTAAATTTTGTTTTGACTACGGCAGACGAACACGGCTATCTACCTGTAACTAGACAAAAATGTGTTTATTAGGAGAAATCTGCCCTAAATGTTTTCTACACTAAAATGTTTTCAAAGAGATTTTTTAAAAAACACAAATGTGCAGGTTGCTGCAGAAATTAGAACTGAACTTCAGACTGGAAAAATGAGAAACTGAGAACTGAAATTGCCATTCATCCATTCCTGCTCAAGACACCCTGCAAAAGTCTGTCCTCTGCTTCTCTTCTTTCAGAGAAGAGAGAAGCAGGCATTCTCAGTAGTGGTGCCCTCCCTTCAGATGTCAAGGAGACAAAGAATTACACAACTTTTAGAAGACATCTGAAGGCAGCCCTGTATCAGAAGGTTTTTAATGTTTGATGTTTTTATTATGTTTTTAGATATGCTGGGGAAACCCAGCCAGATAGTCGGGGTTTAATAATAATAATAATAATAATAATAATAATAATAATAATAATAATGCCTGCTTGGATGCCCATGTGAGCAGACCTCTTCAGCTCTCATAGTCCTTCCTTCACCTTACTGCCCCTCCCCATCTCTCTGCCTCTTCTCTATGTTATAGCAGTTTAATCATGAAACTTAAAGGAACATTAGTGTGCTCTCTGGAAAACCTATCTTTTATACAAATAGAAATGGATTTCCATTGAAATTTTTTCGGACAAATAAGAAATATATAATAACAAACACAACATACATAACAAAACAACAGTGAACTTAGTCTCGGTACTGATTGTTGATGTGCAAGAACAAACAAACAGACAAATAAATGAAGCAACCAGAAGACACAATAACAGGTAAGGTATAGAAACAGCAACCTGGAAGGCCAAAGGAAGAAAATTATTCATTTTTAAGCTGAAGGCCAAAAGTGTTTGGGTATTATACCAGCCCATAATGGGCAATGAAGATCTGTGGGGAGCACTGCTCCCTGCTGTCACAAAACAAATCAAACAAACAGAAACCAGGTAATTGGGCATGAAGTTTTGGATTTTTGATTCAACTTGGAAGGGTTCTAAGGCTGCTTACTTGGGACTGTAGGAAACCTACCCCTTTTCTCTCCATTCTCTGGAACAGTTAATTCCTTCCATTTCTTTTTTCTCTCCATTATCTTCATTTCCTAGATCTCACTATCTCTCTGTCCTCACATAGTCCAAACCCAGGTTAACTGCATTTGAGCCTTCCCCTGGTCTGTCTATGCCCCCATTTAACCTTGCCACATCACTAACATGTTCTGTGTAACTTATACAGCAACAAACAGACTCCCCATCTCTGTCTACCTCTCTCTCTAGTAGTAATATGTTAGTGCTGCAAACTGCATGCTGTTTGCTTCCACACAAGACGTTAGCCACAATCGATATCCATCCTTGATATTTTCTTTATGAAATATCACACTAAACTCACTTGGATCCAAACTGATAAACAATCTAGCTGCATTTTAAGCAGGTGATGTGTACACAGTTTAAGTATACAAGTTCTTGGTTCAGGTTGTGTGGGTTAGGGTAAAGGTAAAGGTACCCCTGCCCGTACGGGCCAGTCTTGACAGACTCTGGGGTTGTGTGCCCATCTCACTCAAGAGGCCAGGGGCCAGCGCTGTCCGGAGACACTTCCGGGTCACGTGGCCAGCGTGACAAAGCTGCATCTGGCGAGCCAGCACAGCACACGGAACGCCGTTTACCTTCCCGCTGGTAAGCGGTCCCTATTTATCTACTTGCACCCGGGGGTGCTTTCAAACTGCTAGGTTGGCAGGCGCTGGGACCGAGCGACGGGAGCGCACCCCGCCGCGGGGATTTGAACCGCTGACCTTTCGATCGGCAAGCCCTAGGCGCTGAGGCTTTTACCCACAGCGCCACCCGCGTCCCCCGTGGGTTAGGGTAGCCTGTGTATAATCTTGTTCTACTCCAAAACTGCATTCGGTCCTTCAAGATGCAAAGCCATATTACTTGGGATTTATTTATTTGTTTTTGCAAATTCTCTCAAGTAATTAAGTGAGTGCAGCAACCTCTGTGGTGTGCAACAAACTCTGGAGCAAATAGCCTACATGGGGAAACATGGGTGCCTGTGTAATGTGTGAACCAAGACATGTGTAGGCTTCATAACTTGGGTATGCAGAGACGAGCAGGGCTTCTAGATGGGCAAATAAACACAAGCTTACTTCCGATGAACTGTTTCAGAGTGTAGTCTTTCAGTTCTTTTTCTTTACTTTTTTCGGGTAGGAAGTCGTTGTTTTGAGCTTCTGAAGGGCTGTTCTGGGGCGACTCTTCCTAGAAATGGGCAAGTGACATTGCATTAGACATAAACACAAGGCTATGAGTCAGTGTGGTCAGAGCGTCAGACTAGAACCTGGAAGAACAGCTTTCAAATCCCTGCTTGGCCATAAAGCTCACAGGTGGCCTTGGCCAGCTACTGCCTCAGCCTAAACACAGGGACTTTGTGGGGATTAAATGAGTAGGGGGATAAACCACGTATGCCACCTTGAGCTCCTTGGAGAAAATGGGGGGGGGGGTGTAATATACCAGTAAATGCAATAAATAAAGAAACAGTAATATTCCTGAGAAACCTCTGGATCAGTCAGAATTGCATCCTACTGCTGTTTCCCTTTTTGCTACGCCTCCTTTGCCACACGACCGCAACCCACTGTTTCCGCAGAGCGATGCAACCCCACTGCACACTTTGTATTTTATCGGTTTCCATTATAGGCCAGCTACTATTATTTCAGCCAGCTACTAATCTGATAAGTTTAGTAGCTGGCTGATTCAAATCATTTTCCACTGGATTAGCTAACTGCATTCTGCTTCAGTCTGATCCAAACCCACCCACAGATTTCCATAGACATTTTCAGCAGGGGTATAACACACACACACACACACACACACACACACACACACACACACGTGCACACAGAGTCAACCCGCAGCATCCATCCATTTAACCTGTACAATTTCAGCTTTACGCATTTGACCAAAAAAAGATATATTTAAAGGGGGGGGGCATCCAGAAAAAAAAGTCAGCAATCCCACCGACCGTTGTATTTGCCTTGGGATCCACGAGTACCCACCCCCAAGGTACAAATCTGCTTCAGAGGAAGGGTAACCCCATCAAGAGCAGGTAACCTCCCATTCATCCAGTCTAAGGAACTGCCCCCTTAGGATTGAGCTTCAGTTTGTTGGGTTTCATCCAGTCCATTACCGAGGCAAGACAGGACAACAGTCCAGCACATCCACTGCCCCACCTGCAGATGTAAAGGAGAGGTAGAGTTCTTGTGTCATCAGCACATTGCTGACAACATACTCCAAAGCTCTGAAAGACCCCACCTAGTGGTTTTATGTAGATGTTAAACCTCCTAGGGGATAAAATCGAGGCCTGAAGAACTCAACACTGAAGGCTCCATGGAGCTGAAGAGCACTCCCCGAGCATCACCCTCTGGAAGCAAGCATCCAAGCAGGACTGGTACCACAAAGCAGTGCCGCCGCCACCTCAACTCAAGACAGCTACTCCAGAAGGATATCATGATTGGTGGTATCAAAAGTTGCTGAGAGGTCAAGTAGAATTAACAGGGACACATTTCCCATGTCTCCCTCCCAACAGTGGTCATCATATAGAATGACCAAAGCAGTTTCTGTGCTAAAACTGGGCCTAAACCCCAATTGAAATGGATCTAGAAAATCAGTTTCCTCCACCTGGTCCATAACCACCTGCTTAATAACCTGGCCCAAGAAAGGGAGATTGAAATCCGAAGACTCAGTGTGGTCACTAACATAAAACATCCTTTTATCACTCTGCTGCTTTTGTAATCTTGTTCTCCTCAAATCCGCAATTTTGCCAAGGAAAAGGCTAGAAGAGAGTTTTTGTCCTTCTCTTTGTTAAGGCTATTGGATCTCCTCTGTAGACTTTGTTACACTGGACGGCCCTGTCCCCGAGATTCCCTAGGGGCAAATCAATTTGACTCTGTGCAAATAGAATGGCATAAAATCAAATGGATGCAGCAAAGTCAGCACTCCACTTAAAGGCAGAAAAGATCCATTTAAATATCCTTCCGTGGAGAGGTTAATGCCTGCGTTGTCTTTCTGGTGAAGTGACATTTAGCTGGCCTGGCTCTCAGCTTCATGGCACTGCTGAATGCTGAATCTGGCCGGTACAAGTACAGTTGGTTTACTATGAAAGCTAAAACACTCATTACATGGAAGTGTGTGTATATGTATAAACCCTGACGATGGCTTGTTCTGGGAAGCAGTGTCAGGAGGAAGAGACTTGGAGGAGCAGCAGGTGAGAATGCTTAACCCACCCCCCACACTCCTGAAATCACTTCTTTCCTCTACTGCTGCTTACCCCAACCTCTACAATATGGTTACCAGACGTCCCTGTTTCCCAGGGACAGTCCCCGGATTTACAAATCTGTCCCTGGCCAAAATCTGTCCCCGGAATGTCCCTGGATTTCATTTAACGTCCCTGGATTTATATTTTAAGTGTTGTAGATTATTTAGTGGGGAATGAATGTTGCGTGATTGGTTCAATGGCACAAGACACATCACATGGGGACTTCCAGTGAGGCAAAATGGCAGATGCCACGGCAGTGAGCAGCTCCTGAAGCCAGCCAGAGCCAACTGTGCTAACAGGCTGGCTCCTGGCTGCTGAGACTGCCGCTGCCACGGCCGAGGGGGAACCACTCAACCCCCCCCCATGACCCAAATCAAGCCGGGTGTGAAAGTGCCCGGCCACCCGGCCGACAGCCCAGTGGCACTCCGGGGCCAGGGAAACCCTGGAGCCAATGCAGGGAGAAGGAGGAGAGGAGAAGGAGAAGGAGAAGGAAGAGAGAGAAAGAGGAAGGAGAAAAAAGAGGGGAGCCCCAACCTTGCCGCACTGCTGCTGCCGCCGCTAAGGAACAGAGGTAGGAGAGCACTGGCAGGGCAAGGAGACGTGGCCGAGCCCAGGCCTGACCCGAGCCTACTCCAGGGTGGCTAGCACCCCAAGAGAGCAGGCTGGGGCCCAGAGGAAGGCTGCACAACAGAGGAGACCACAGAAGAGATTACTTCTTCTTTAAAAAAAAAAAATAACTTTTTTTAAAATAACTCCCCCCCCTTTCTTTCTCTCTTTTTAAAAAAAGTGTACCTGGATTCTTTGGAGGGAAATTTGGTAACCTTACCCTACAAGGGCTTGTGAGGATAAACCTGTCTGGAATGCAGTTGGGGGAAGCAGTTGCATCAGAAAACCAGAGGGGCAGGGAAGGGTTAAGCATCTGTCTCCCCCTACCACTGCCTCAGCTTCAGTTTGACCCCTCCTCAGGAGGAGGAAACCATGACCGTCACACAGGACATTCTCTTGGGGCTTCTTGCATCGTGATGAAACTTTGCAGGCCACTTGGGCTGAGAAATGCAGGTGGAGCGGAGGCAGGAAAAAAGCAATTACCCAGCTTGGGAAGTGGCCAGGACATCAAAACTTATCACTGCTGCTCTTACAGCGCATGCCAAGGGATTCTTAACAATCAGGCGCAACCAGGGTCTCGGCTTGATGTCTCACTGGAAAAAGAGCAATTCATTTCAAAAAGCTGCTTCTCCTCCACGCTTCTTGCAGCAAACTGTTTGCCAGTGATCACTCCGCAGAGCTCACAAAAGCAAGCATTTCTGCCTCAGCAGAAGATTGTGTTTGCTTGATCTGATCTTTTGGAGAAACTGCTCATAATCAAGGGGGAAGCAACTTAGCAAACAAATGAGACTTCTCCTACCGCCCCCCTTCACAGCCCATCTTCACCTTCTCTAAGAATGCCTCTGTCCCTAGGGCTGGCCCTACCATTAGCCAAAGTGGGGTGGCCGCCTCAGGTGGCAGATTCTGAAGGCCAGGGAATGAACAGAACTGATGTGCCTGCTCTGTGCTCCCTAAGCTAGTCCGCTGCCCTCAAGTGTAGAGGAGGACACTGTCTATTTGCCAGTGATGAAGTAACATTCAATGACTGGTCTTCTGTACGTTGTTTGTGGAGGCACCATTTTCTCCTTCACTTTAAGCAGCAAAAAGGTTTGGGCCTTCCTTGTCTCTCACACAGGACACAAAGATAGAAACTCAGCCATCCTTCTGCCACATGGCCAGCATACTTTGTCGTGAGACTCGCACCCGCTTCCACTTTCACGACTTGAAGTTTGACGCTGCACCTACTCATGAATGGCTTGTCTGGGCTTCCTGTTTCCTGTGTGCCAGGCGATGGCACCTTGGGGCAAGATAGACGGAGATAATCAGAAAATGATGGGGGAATTGCATTTTCTGCATTCCTCTTTGATTGGAAGAGGGACCTTGCTCTCACCCACAGTTTGCCTGGCGGTCTGGCACTCTCTTCCTCATGGAATGCGAGGGCAGGAAAGGCACTGGGTGCATGGAGTACTCTGGCTGCCGCAACCACCCCCCCGCCCCCCCCGATCCTTTTCCTGGAAGCACAGGTTATCCTGCTAATTCGGTTTGTTTAATTGGAATAAACTACAGGCGCATTCTAGAGATGGTGAGATAAGAAACTGTGAAAACGAACCCAGCTACAAGGATTTAAAAGGTTTAGATTGAGCGGGAATTTCATTCGGTGAAAGAGACATTGCGGGGAGGGGAGCCCACGCTTTGCTTATATCAAAGTTTTTCTCTACATTTATGATATGGCAAACCTCCCCTGAATGCAGGGTTGTTGTTTATTTAAAAAATATATGTACAAGTGTGGAAGGAATAAATTGGAATATAAATAAGGAATTTAATAAAACTGGAACTGCACATGTATGAGAGAAAGGAACTGAGAGGGAAGGGAGGGGGGAAACGCTATGCTTCGAAAATATGGAGCAAAGTCCTCTCTAACCTCCTTTATCCACAAAGGAATGTGTTTGAGATAAGGATAATTGGCCATAAATCAGCAGCAGGGAAGAAAGGAGTCTACCAGCTGCGAGAACAGAAGCTTTTGGATTAACTATTTGCAGTCTGAATTCAGACTGTTCTTCCTAGGCTGGAAAAATGGTGAAGATGGCTTGACGAAGTGATGCAGTGACTTTTGGAAACTGAGATAACCGCTTCTCCTGAGACATGACGGGAACCATCAACAGTTGTAATAATGAAGGATATAACACCATATATGGACAGGAAAACATCATGGGGGGGGTAGGAAACTGTCACACGCAAGAATAAGAATTACAGTTAGAGTTCCTCACTTGGAACTTCATAAATTACCTAATATACCAACACGAATGAAATCACAAGATTGTAGCTCTTATATAAGGGATTATTATATCTAAATGGAAAGTAATGGAAATTATTAAGATTCTGGAATGCAAGAAAAATGTCAAAGAATGAAGTCAACAAATCTAGCATGTCAGGACGCCAGTTTGATTAAATTGTATAATCTGACATTGGAGTAATTGGCATTAATAATTGTAATAGCTGGATAAAAATGGTATTGTTATCATGAGGCTGCTATTGGAACGATATTGGAAAATCAATAAAAACGTATTTTTCAAAAAAATAATAATGAATGGCTTGTCTGAATGCTTGAATACTTGTCTGTGTCTTGATTCTTCAATCTGCCTGTTTCCCAAACCTGTGCCAGTCCAGCCACCCACCCAATCCACTTTTGTGAAACATGGTCAGTGCGTAAAAAATGTAGAAAAGACATAAATGTGAAAAGTCATCATTTCTGAGTGTGCTGCTTTCCTTTCCGCTTCTGCTTCTTCCCTGAACGCCCTGATGTGAGTCATGTTTGGCTACCATCAAAGGGCTCTGCCTTCATGCCTCGCCTGGCCAGTTCTTCAGTTCCTGCTCTCATTCCTGTGAGTTGATAACAGTTCATGCCCAGTCTATCCTGCTGTCAGTCCCAGCCTGGGCCTGACACGACCTTCACTGTGTGCTCCAACTGTGACGAGTTTTGTCTCCCGTTCGATGCTTAAGTAGCACCTTGAATGTAAAAGGTCTGGCTGGGTATCAGTAGGTCTAGGGAAGGGTGCCTAACAGATGGACACTGTCAGAGATTGGCTGGATGAGGAAGAGTGTTGGGCGATGCCTGCTCAAGAGCCACCAAGGAATGACACAGAGGAAGAAGGACAGTGGTGGTGGGACCTGGAGGACAAGTCTGTGGAAGGGACAAGCTGGGAGGTCATAGAAGCGGGAGGGTTGAGTGAACATGGGGGGGGGCGGCGGGTGTCAGAAGAAGAAAGCCATTTCAGGACAAGGCTGGGTGCCAGGAGTCTTAGTGTGAGCTGACAGAGAGGAGCCAGAAGCTCAGCAGCTGGGCAGTCTTGCTCCAGTTAGCTCTCCACTGACACCCAAATCACAAAGAGTCCTGCACATGGTTGAGCAACAGGCCAAACAGGCCCCAAAAGGGATCCTTCCTCCTCCTCACAATCTACAGCTGCTTTGGAGGAGTCTAGAGTGAGGGGGCTAGAGAGGAGGAGAGGCCAGATGCCAGTTCCAGCAACGTCTTCAACAAGAAGAGACTAGCCTAGATGGACTGTGTTGCAGTTTTACTTTTGTGAATAAAAAGTTAATTGCACTTTGCATCTCAAGTGCTTTTCCTGACCTGTGGATGAACCTGCCTTCTCCTGACAGCCCCTTGACAGCCACTCACTTGTCCACTAGGAGGTGGGATCTGCTTGGGATCTGCTCTGTCCCAGGAACCAAGAATGTTCCTGAGCATTCACTGACACATTGGGCCTGTTCAGCCAGACATGACAGCTGTAAACCCAAGATGGAGGGCACACAAGGAAACAGAGCAAAACATCCTGATGTGTACCACACCATATCTAACTTTGCTCTTTCTCCAAGGTACTCAGATGGCATACACAGGGTTTCCCTCTCTCTTTATGTCCACAACCCTGTAGGATAAAAAGGTTAGACTGAGACTGGGCTTGGCACTAGAGTACCAAGGTTGTTTTACACGAGGGCACGAATCTGGATTCAGATCTCTCTGGTCCAAGCCCAGCACCCTACCCACTAACCCGAAGTGGCTCATGCGCCAGTGTTTTGAATTGCCTTACTTTCCATTTCAAGAGGAAAGAGATCGTGCCTTGAGAATAGCTATACTCAAGCGTGTCCTTACCTCTCTAGGCAGCTCTTTTGGAAAGAAGAAATAAGGTATTGAAGCAATGGCGACCACGCTGGCGGAAATTATGAAACCGAGCCACCAGGCTCCAACCCATCGTGGATCTTTGTTATTAATGTGAATGTCAGCTGAAACACAAAGTACATGGAAGAGCTCAAAGATACGCTGGTGCTTTGGTGGCTGATAGCACAACTCTCAGAGGCCTCAACAGCTGCCTACCCCTTTTGCCAGGAACATAGACTCAGGCTCATCCAGATTTGCTTTTACACCACTTTTTAAGGCATAAAAAGGCTGAAATAGATCTGTGGCTTCTGCCTGCGTCTGTCTCTGGAAGCGGGGCAGGTGGAAGCTGCAGATCCATTCTGGCCTTTTTCTTCTGCCTGCATCTCTCTCTGTTGCATGGCTCTGTCTCCATCTCACCACTCACCACATTTTGCTTACACCTGGTGAGTGACATCTCATTCTCTAGAACAGGAAGATGAAGAAAATTTATTCTGTTTTGGTCAATTTGGGTTAGATCATTATCTGGTTAAAGATAAAGAACATGAAAACTGACTGTATCACTATAGCAACACCTGATATCTTGATATCACTACAGCAAAATAATGTTTCGTTGTCTAATTTTAAAGTTGGCATTTTTTAGGGGAAGTTTAGTTGTTAATTTAAAAACCAGTGGTTAGCTAAGTTTAAGTTTCTTTTGTTTGCTTGATGAATAAAAATAATATCCTTTATGATTATGAGTATCAGTTCAATAACTGTTTGCCTTTTAGAGGGACAAAATCCCTGGGTGAACTCCCTAGTGAAATGTGCTATGCATGTCTATGGGGTCAGGGCACAAATATCTTCATTTTAAACTGTGTTTGACATCCTATAATCCCACACATCTTGTAGTGGCTTCCTGCAAAGGACGGCAATTGCTCAGTGAGCCTGGGTTCTTTTAAACCCAGCTCCTACACTAGCAGATTCCATTTGCTCGCCTGTCTTTGTGTACATTTGTTTCTATGAAATCTGCACCCTGGTGGCTTAGGAATGAAGTCATAAACCTCCAGTCTGAGACACAGGAAGGTCAGTAGTGCTGACTTCAGCTAAGTACACATTCACTCACGGACTCATTGTTAAAACCGTGTTTATGGAAGACAATCTTACTCGGCTACGAGTGATCGCCAAAGAAGAAGAACACAATTACCAGACATAGTGATAGACATCAGAGCAGAAGCACAAATTCTGGCCCACACTTCCTTCCCTCTGTGTCTGCGAGATTTACTCACTCACAAAGATGCTCACACAGAACATTTGTTAACTCACATGCGGGAATTTTATCGATGTCAACAAAATAGCGCAACGTAGCTGCCCCCACGATGAATGCTAATGCAGGACCCACGGTAGTTGCAGCAAAGAGGATTCCTGTAAAAAAGGAAACAGAACTTCGGCTCAAGTAGCAAGCCCACTAAGCATCTTTCAAAATTTGTCCCAACAAGTTTATTTAACATTTACTGTATATACCACCCTGATTGTGGTAAAATCTTTAAACAGTTTATCCTCTAAGTGGCGCTGGAATAATGAGGTGGATTCACACAACTCACTCTTTTCCAGGGGATTTCCAACCCTAGTTGAGATTCGGTTTGGGTATGTATGCATCATCCCAGTCTTGTGAATGGTTCAGTGTATGTGCAGATGCATATCCAGGTCAATGGCAAGTCCATGCCATGTTTTAAATTTTCCAGACAGAGGCTGCTGTACCCCCACCCAACAAAATGGTGGCAAATTCCTACCCAGGCTGACTAAAAAGATAAATTTAGTATGGTGGTAGTGGTGGTGGGAAGCTTCCTGCTAAGTAAAGGCCTGGTGGTAAAAAGTAAAAATAACAAACACAGTTGTCATCTACTCAAGGAAAGGAGATCACCTAGAAAAAGCCACACACACATACCACCATTGCCTGGGGATAGGGGTCCCTTTCAACCCAAAAAGTAAACTGTAAAGCCAGCCTCCTGACAGGCCCCTTGCAGCCTCATGTTCAACTGTAGCTCCCACTACAAGGTTCATTTCCTGCCAGCTGTTTTATTTTATGATTATATTTATTTTATGCTTTGATTTTATGCTTTGCTGGTTTTGTAAATCATTTTGTCCTGACAGGGGTTGCGACAGAGGAGCAATTTTTGTTGGGACAGCAGCAGAGAAGAAAAGTTTTAACTCCCTACTCACTGCAGGCCTGATGAAAATCCCTCCTCCCAGCTATTAACATTAACTTCAGCAACACATCTAGTTTGGCCTTTGGGTTCGTCCACACTTCCAGTTGTTCCATGCTTTCAGTTTCCCCCTTGCTCCACTCCGTTCGCAGGGAAAACCAGCTCTTTAGCGCTCAACTGGAGCAAACATCCATCTGGGGAAAACTCAAATTGCCATTTGCTCTGACTGAGTGCTGAAAAGTGGTTTTCCCCAGGGAAAAACAGCAGGACAAGAGGATTAGTGGATAAGCCTCTTGTTTGTGGTCCATCCAGACAATCTGTTTGGGAACCGCTCCTTTATCTCTTCTTTCCTTGGCTCAGGGCCCTCCTTCATCCATTCTCAGGTGTGTTGCAGGTCACAACTCAAGACAAGATGCCTATACGGTATAAGGCACTAGCCTGGGCAGCTAGCCTTTGTTTCTAGCATCTTACCTATATAGAGAGGGGAGTTGCTCTTACTGGCAAAATCATCAATGTATGAGATGCCAAAGGGCTGGATGGGGACCCCGCCAATCCCCAGCAGGGTCTGCCCAAGTAAGAGCAGCATCACAACCACTTGGGTTTCTTTCTTTTCGGATTTAGTGCATACTTCTGTCTCATTCCGGTTTGGGAGGCATATGTCTGAAGTGGTAGTTTCAGAACCTGTAGAGGCAAAAGGAGATGCTATCAAGCTGCCACACCCATCTATTGTTTTACTGCTGGGTGAAACTCCCTTTGGAACTGGGCACAGCAAACAGAGCTATTGAGCAGCAACAACAACACAAAGCTGGATTCTGTTCTCTCACCATCTTCTCTTACCCCTCCCTACCCAGCCTCTATATGGAAGGATGCTACAGCAGCACACAGTCATGCAAGGAGGAGCATTCTGATAGGTGGCTTACGACCAGGTTACTTCAGAAACTGCCAAGTCTTTGAGACTGGCCCTGAAGGCCCTGCAGTGGTGGACTTTTGGGTCTCAAATACAGTGACACCTTGTGCCGGCACCAAAATTCTGCCTAGAGCTGTGTCTCATTCAGCTGCAGTCTCCACATCCAGTTCTGGTCCAGCAGGCTTGTTGAAGGTTTGGTGGAGGCAGTGATGGCCACCAACTTGGAAGACTTGAAAAGAGGGTTAGACAGATTCATGGAGGAGGGAGCTATCGATGACTACTAGCCCTTATGGCTGTGCCTCCACCAGTTGCTTGGAAACGATAGGAGGGGAGAGGGCTCTTGTGTTCGAATCCTGCTTGCGGGTTTCCCACAATGGGCACCTGGGTGGCCACTGTGAGAACAGGATGCTGGACTCGAGGGGCCACTGGCCTGATCCAGCACATTCTTCCCATGTTCTTATGAATCATGGACCGGGAGAGAAGGGAAAACCCACTCTCATCACTGTCTCATGCTATTCTTTTAATAGAATGTGCAGTGAGACCCTCATTATTGCCCCCCCCATCAGACTAGCTAAAATTGGCAATAGATTCTAATTTAGCTTGAGAAGAGAATTTATTGTCAAAATGTTTTTGTGTGTGTGTGTGTTTTTAAATGTATTACTTTATTGGTAACAATGAATTTGAGTTTATGTTGTACAGCTGTAAGTAAGTATAATAAAACATAATTGAAAAACCAATAAAATAAAATAAAAATGGAATTGGGTGTGTGTCAGTGTCCAACTCTTGGCTTGATCGTCTGTGGTTTTCTAATGCAAAATGAGAGTGGGAATCAATAGTTTCCCCCCTCAATTCCAAATGTGAACCTCCATACTGAAAAGCTACCCAAGGAGATTCGGGTAGAGATTGTGATATGATAGCCACCTTCAAATATCTCAAGGTGCTGTCTTACGGATGATGGAACAAGCTTGTTTTCTCCTGCTCTGAAGAATAGGACTCGAACCAATGGCTTCAAGTTACAAGAAAGGAGATTCCAACAAAACATCAGGAAGATCTGACAAAATAAAAAATTGTCCAGTAGCACCTTAGAGACCCACTAAGTTTTTTCTGGGTATAAGCTCTTGAGTGCATGCACACTTCTTCAGATGCATGCACACAAAAGCTTATACCCAGAACAAACTTAGTTGTTCTCTAAGGTGCTACTGGACAATTTTTAAATTTATTTCGACTGCGTCAGTGTAGGGATCAGATGGGATTACCATGAGGAATTATAAAATATACATCAAGCCATCGTGTCCACGATGAAAGCATTGTGTTGACTGGGTTTGATATATTGACGATAATTTCTGATTAAATCCCATAAGACTCTACATTCATGCCCTTTTCATGCCCTTTTCCCTCTGCTGCCCATTTCTCTCTCTTCATAAGTCACGTACACAGCAGTTGCTTCGCCAGGCAGGCGTCCTGGGCCATAAAGACAGTGGGCAAGTTTATTTGATGTAGGATGTTAATCTTAGGGCCAGGAAGCAGATCTCACATGAAGGGGATAATGGTCACTGTCCTCCTGGCCATCCTCCTTATCATGTGTACCGATTGTTTATTACCTCCGGGGTTGCCAGATGCTCTTCCTTGTAGTTCTGTTCTTTGTTTACCCCAGAAATATTTGTGCTTAATTAGTTTTAGCAGTTTTAGTAAAACTTAATTAGTTTTACTTTCTCCCCACGTGGGTTTGTGGAAATGCTCAGAAGAAATCTGATTGGTTCTTACGAAGACTCTGTAAAAAGCTCTTTTGTGAATAAAACGACCTGGGCCAGGGGCTGCACACGGGACAGGCACAGAGAGAGACACGATTATACGCACCCTTCCCAGAGTCTTGCTGGTTCAAGCCTCTGTGTGTATTCTTATTAATCAGAGTTCAATCCTTCCTTTACTTTGCGAACGCAACAGTCAGACCAACACAGCTACTTACCTCAACTATCTGACAGTAAGCTGTTCGACAAGGGAATGGTCTCCCGCGGGAGGTGGTGATTTTAAGCAGAGATCAGACGGCCATCTGCCATGGATGTTTTAGTTGAGATTCCTTTGCAGGGGGGTTGGACTAGATGGCCCTTGGGGTCCTTTCCAACTCTATGATTCTATGAATCAACAGTTCCCCCAATTCCAACTGCGAACCTTCGTGGTGAAAAGGTCCCCAAGGAAATCATACATAGGAAGTCCTTACCAGTAACGGAGCGATCATATTCGTAGGGTCCCGAGATAAAGTGAGGAAGTGACATGACCAGACCAGCAATGGAGACGAGGACGGCCCCATAGCCAATGAAGCGGGGCCTGTGGACTCTGCAGCCCATGTAACTCACAAAGATGATCAGCAGCGTGTTCCCCACCTGGGTAGTGAGAAGAGAGGTTGAGAGGCCTCTTAGGACATTGGGGAAGCCACATCCTTATGAAAGGATAAAAGCAGGGGAGGAAAGATGGACAAGGAGCAAAGGTGCTACCTCGTTGAAGGAGACCACGGTGCCTGCCATCTGGCTCGACAGTCCAAAGCGCTTCTCGATTGTGGAAATGGAGCTTTTCACAAGGCTAGACGTCAGCAGCTGAGAGAACTGCAGAAACCCCTGACAAAAAACGAAGAACTGCAGAAGGAGAGAAAAAGAATGAACAAAAATCAAAATGGAACCTGAGAAACCTGAGGCTGTTCTGCCGCACTGGGAGTAACGAGTCCTGACTCGTTCCTTACTAGGTAGTCTGTGCAGGGCACACAGCAGCTGCTCTCCAAGTCTCTGCCTCCTTTCCCTTCCCTGTCACAAATACCTGTGGTCTCAAACCCCAGTTCTAACTATCATGTTTTGTGATGTATCTGTGCAGAGTTAAAACTGTGGGATAACCAGTCTCAAATAACCAACATGCTTAGGTCTAATTAATGCATGAAGGGGTTAATACTGTACACTGTCCTGCCTGGCTTAGCTATATCCACTCCCCTCACTTTGGGATGAAATGATTAATCAAGCTTTTGTTCCAGAGAAGCTCAATGTGTGAGGAGGTCTCAACTAGTTGCTGCAGCTCAGACTGCATGGCTCTTACAAGCCAGTCTTGAGTTCCTGTGCCAATAATTTAGGAACTTTCACCACTTTGGAAATATGCCAAGTTTTACTGCCTGTGCAACTTTTTCTGAATGCTGTATGGAAAAGCACAAGAATATGACCTTCGGAGAGTTTGTAAGTAAACCATTTTTAACTTACCAAAGGTGTGGCCTTTTTCTGTGCTCAGGGAAAAGGGAAGTTTTGGAACTCACAAGGGCATATTTTAAAGGTCTTCCATCCTACATTTCCACACTTTATTTTGCTGCATGTATTGTGATTTAAAATCTATGTTTGGGTTCTCTGACCAAAGAGTAATTTTATTTTGGCACTGCATGTGGGTTGGGCTAGTTGACCCTTGCAGTCTATTCCAACTCTACAATTCTATGACTAATATGGCTCTTAGTCTGAGGCAAATAGAGGGATTGGTAGCTCAAGGAATGAGTACGGTTTTTGTTTTTTGTTTTTTGCCACTAACAGTGTGTGCAAATGCACAAAAAACAGACTGCTTGTGAGCAATAAATACAAGATGGGAACCTGCATGTGTGATAGTCACACTAATGTTACATATTGACGCTGCCTTTCAAAATGGTGGTGCTTTTCTGCTGTCACACACCAAGTCTCAACAATCAAGGGTGGCTCCCTACAAACATCACTTTAGATACCCTCTTAAAGTTAGAAGATGATTTGACACAGACTTTAAAACCTGTGTGCATGGCTTAAAAAAATAATGATCAGAGGTGTTTTAATTTCATGCCACTTATTCTTGTGGGCTTTTAAACTGTTGCGAGCCACTAATCTGGAAGACTTAAAAACAGCCAGGTTATCGAACACTCAATTAAGTGCCATTATCATTAGATAATTATCATTTGTTGCAACTTGAAATAATGGCAGGATGTGTGTGTGTCATTAACAAGGAACCATAATCGACTGGGGGAACCCCCATATGGTGACTTGAGTGGGGCTGCACAAAGACCTCATCCTCAGCATGGGGAGGGTCCCACCAGAATGATCTACTCAGTGGTGGGCCCAGGTGTCTGGTAATTCCCTGATGGTGACTGAGTCAGCAGGGTGGGATGTGAGATGGCAGCCAGCAGTGGCACTGCCCGAGAGTAGGATCCTTGCCCTATGCCATACACACCTCTACTATCATTATAATAAATGAAAATGGCGCCAGACTGAAATATCCCTGAACATATAGGGAAACAATATCTGGGATACAGCAATGTCTGTATCCCAGACACAAGGAGGGCAATTAAGGGCAAAACAAATAGAGACACCTTCCAAGAAACGTGGACCCCTTTCTTTAACTATATTAATGACCAAAATCAAGACCTTCTTATACCAAACGCTGGATATTCTCAGCGGAGAGGTGATGTTAAGTAATATGTTTGAATGTTGAATGTGCAAGTGTATGTTTAGGGACAATGGATAAAACAAACACCATTCGCTATACTGCTGGATAAGTGTTTAATGGTTATTGTATTTGATTAAAAACCAATAAAAATTGTTTAAAAAGAAAATGGTGGCCATGTTTAACCCATTCCTTATCTCAGTGCGTTCATTGCTCACTCGCTGCACATGGCGCAAAATGTGGAAAGTTTTGAATACCAAGTGGAAACTAATTATAATCACTGCAAACTGAATAACATTTTCTCCACAGTTCGCCCCCACACCCCAGTTTAAAGAAAAGGGGAAGCGGGGAGCCAACCCCGGGGTGTTTTACATTTTTACACATGCAACGAACATCTATTTTTAAAAGTCCACTATCTTGGAAGCAGCAGCTTCCAACCTGCTTGGAATGTTTTTGCTCACAAAGGCAAAGATAAGAGTTCCTGGGGTTGCAGCCAGCTTGCCGGAACAGCCAAGCTTCCTCTCTGACACAGGAAAGGGTCAGGTGGGCAGATGGCTTTGAAGTGCCTAGAAGCAAGTTCTGGATTCAAGTGCAAGAGAGGCACTGAAGGTCAAGTGAGCCAGCAGGTAACAGATGTGCTCTGAGAGCTCAGGCACAAAAGGCCACAGCATGAGCTGCTTATTCTCATTTTGAGCTCTTCTGGAAGTTTGAGAAGAAACTTAAAACATGTCATGTGAAGCTGCCTCATGCTGCACCAGACTGATGTTTTGCCTAGTCTTCCCCCAAGCTGGTGCCCTCCAGTCGTTCTGTACTTACAACTACCACCATCCCCAGCCAGCCTGGCTGTGCTTCCATCAGTCATAGCACCATGCAGATGTGCCAGTTGGGGTTGACAGATGTAGTGCAAAACCTCTGGAGGGCACTTGCTTGGGGAAGGCCGACTAAACCCAATATTGCTTTCTCTGACTGAAAGCAGCTTTCCAGGGGCCCCAGCAGGAATCCTTTCCAGTCCTGCCTCCTGAAATCCTTTCAAGCCTGCAATTCTGGGGACTGGTCACCAAACCAGTCGTGAAGTTAAATGTGCTGTTTGAAATTGTGTGCATCATTTAAAAATGTTTTTAAAAACACAAAACTATAACTAGCAGACATCCTACAGGAGGGGGTTGGTTAACCTTGCCCTGGCATGCTATGGTTCTAATGAAAATCACATTATTATTATTATTATTATTATTATTATTATTATTATTATTAAAAAAATAAATTAAATTTTACATAATGTATTTCCATTTAAACATATCAATCACCTTTATATTTAGGATTCTCAGAATCCCTTGACTTCCCTTCGCCCTTTGCTAGTTTCCATTGTGCATCCCTTTTTATTCAGCTAATCCTTTCTAAAAACTTTTGCAGGATTAGAACAATACACCCCTTCAAAGCTGCCATTTGGAAGCACCCACTGGCAGAAAGGAAACTGCACTTCGGTGTACTTTTCTTCCTTGGAGCTCTGATCGGGCAGAAGGGATTAATCTGGCTCCTGGTACTTACTTTGATAGTGAAAAATGAGCCTGCATGAGATATTCGGTTGAAGAGACGACTGCTCCTTTCGTCTGGCATTTTTTAAATGTGTGCTTTGTGTCTCTGCAAAAGAGAAATCAGGCTGTTAAACGTCGTACCTAAGTTTCTCCACCTGGTTTAGCACAGCATGACATTGTTCAGAGGGAGACTGTAAGCATCAACAGGACTCATGGGCAATCACAACAAACATATTTGTCAATAAGAACGAGCCCATTAATTGCTGGGGGTTATGGGGTGCTTTAGGGACGTGGGTGGCACTGTGGGTTAAACCACAGAGCCTAGGGCTTGCCAATCAGAATGTCGGCAGTTCGAATCCCCGCGACGGGGTGATCTCCCGTTGCTCGGTCCCAGCTCCTGCCAACCTAGCAGTTCAAAAGCACATCAAAGTGCAAGTAGATAAATAGGTACCACTCCGGCGGGAAGGTAAATGGCATTTCCGTGCGCTGCTCTGGTTCGCCAGAAGCGGCTTAGTCATGCTGGCCACATGACCCGGAAGCTGTACGCCGGCTCCCTCGGCCAATAAAGTGATATGAGCGCCGCAACCCTAGAGTCGTCTGCAACTGGACGTAATGGTCAGGGGTCTCTTTACCTTTACCTAAGGGGTGCTTGTCCCACTGGGAATACTCACTGTTTACTGCTGAATCGGGAAAAAATAAAAAAATCATGAATTAGTTTTTCTGCGGATTGATGCTTGTTCCAATTCAGCAGTATACAGTGGGTTTTCCCTGGGAAAGTGGGAGAACAAACACAAAACCGCTCAGAGACGTACCTAGAAAGCAAAGGAGAAATGGAAGACCTCTCGGACCCGTGCATGGGACAAGCGGAAGTGTGGCCAAACCCTAAGTTAAAAAAAAAATGGCAGTAGGCTTTGGTTAAACATGCTAGCATGTAACATGAACTTTGCCCCTAAGCACACCAAACTCCACCATGCACAGAGAACCTGGAAAGAGACAAATCACATTTCTATAAAAGCGTTCGGCAGCAGAGTACTCGAATCTCAATAGTTTCTATCCATTACCATTGAGTAATACTTCTAGTACCGGAACTGCCTTGCCTCTGACTGCCAAATGCTGGGGACCATGAGTATGGGAAGTGCTGTTGTGGTCATGCCCTGCTTGCAGAGTTGCTATAGGTATCTGGTTTGTGACGATGAAGGACATGCCTGGACCAGCTACACTACAAGTGGGTGGAGACTAGTCTTATGCTTGTCCAAGAGACATTGAAGCCTCACAGATCCCTGAGCAACTGTCTCTCATTGCATCTCTCAGTCCTCAGGGATGAATTACAGACCCTCCAAGTGTCCCAGTTTTCCAGGGACAGTCCCAGATTTACAGAAGCCGTCCTGGTTTCTGATTTGATCCCAAAATGTCCCACTTTTCCTTGGAAGGGACATCTCTATTTTCATCGGAGAAATGTTGGAGGGTGTGGAATTAAATGAGGACAGAGGAATTTGTTCCAGCACTTGTGGGTCAGGCCACACACCCCACACCCAGTTGTAGAACGACAGTGGCAATTTCCTCATCCACCAATACAGACTCACATGGGTTAAGGTGTCATGGAAAAATCAATGCTGTTGATAATCACAATTGCAAGAGCTCTGAAGCCCATAAAGAATGCTGTTGTATTTCTATAAGGACATCATCCGAAGCACTAATGTGAATGTGGAAGGAGGAATATTTGATATATTATATTTCATTATTTCTCTATAATTCTGTTTGCCCCCTAAGAATGAGGAAAATTGAGAGGCTAATGCAATTTGATCACATTTCTGCTGTCAGGCTTGATCTTGTCAAGACAAGCAGAGCTGGATTAAACCATGATGCTTCTGTAACTCTTAGGAGAGAGAAAATGAGCACAAGGCATCAATCCAAGAACACACGCTGTATGGCATCAGCTGACACTTGTAAATAGTTTTCATCAACTCCTGAATAGCGAGCTGTGGCTCTTTCAAACCTATTCAATTATAGGAGAAATTCAGAAGAGGGACTGAAATGGAAATGGCTTTAACTAATCACACCACTTCCCCACAAACTACTGCCTGCAGTCATACGAGCCTACGAAGCTGCCCTATTACACCAAGTCAGTCCATCAGCCTTCTTTTAGTGTTATTCACTAAATTTGCATCCCCTCTTTTCTACCAAAAGCTGAAAGCAGCATATGTGGTTCTTCTCTTATCCTGACAACAAGCATGTGAGGTGGGTTGGTCTAAGACTACCCCAAAGTCACCTATGAACTTCATGACTGAGTGGGAATTTGAACCCGGGCCTAGCCAGTTCCAGCCCAACACCTTAACCACTACACAATGCTATGTCCTCACTTGGAGTGCTTTGTGCAGTTCTGGCTGCTGCACCCCACAATGGACAACACAGAGGCTGAGTCTACCTAGCACAATGTTGACCAGCCTTGTCACCATTCAGTCACCAGAGCTACCAAAAATGACAGACCTTTTCTCTGACAGTAGGTCTGCGTGTATATACATACTTTGCCACTGGGAGAAAGTTCCCCAAGGACTGCCCTGCAGTGTCAAAACAGCAAGCAACTCCGACTTGTTAATGTAATTAAATTGACTGTGCAAGTATCAACAAATTACTCACATGAAGCTAATTAAAAAGGGAGAGAATGTTCACATTGAAGCTTAATTACCTAGATGTTTGTACATAAATCGCTTTGCAACGCTCAGATGGCGAATGCTCTACACAGCACTGCAAATTTATCTTGCCTGTAATTTCTGGCTTCTCCTCAAGAACTGAACATAAATCTTGAGAGATTGTTCAGATCCTTTCAAAGAAGCAAGAACCGTAGCTTCGCTCTGAGTGCAGCGTCCCACTATCCCCTTTCCTGCAGCAACTGCATGACAACAGCTCAGCTGTAATGACAGAGAGGAAGTAGGAGCTGGGCTGTCTATTCCTATAAAGCTTTGAAGGATTTGGGAGCAAAATAATGCCTTCTTCTTCATAAGTTTGCTATCCTACAGTGTTCTTCACTGGCGGTCTTGCTCCGTATCCCACTGCCATCCAAAGACCAGGAAAGGACATTTTCAACCACATCACCCAGATTGTGGAAGTCACTCGGTCCCTTCCCTGTTGGATTTTCACTGTTTTGTAAAGCATCCCTAGTAGATGGCTCCATAGCCTACTTCAACACCTGCAGTTTTACAGACAGCCCACCACCATCTCCCTAGGTCACTGGGTTCCACTGTCAGACTGCTCTTGCCATCAAGAGCTTTCTCCTAATGTTCAGCTGAAATCTCTCCTCCCATATCTTACACTTACACCCTCTGGACAACAGAAAACAAGTCTTTGCCCTCTTCTATGCAACAACCCTGCTTTTTTGGCCCTCTCAGTCTTCTCTTCTCCAGCTTAAACATACCCAGTTCTTTCAACCTTTCCTCAAAGAATCATATAATTGTAGAGCTGTAACCATGAGGGCATCTAGTTCAACCCACCTGCAATGCAGGAATCTTTTGCCCAACATGGGGCTCAAATCCATGAGCCTGAGATTAAGGCTGGATCTATACAGATATATTTTAAAAAACGCTATTAAAAACTCTATATGAAGAAAAGAAGTTCCCAAGGCAATCTGCCATTGACTTTGGATTCTCCTCTACAGCGCCATCCGGTGTCACAATTTTAGAACATGTTTTTAACATTACAAATTGACCAGTCTACTGACTGAGCTACGCCTGCTCTTTGGACTTGCTTTCCACATCCATTGCCATCTTAGTTCCCCTCATCTGAATTCACTCCACCTTTTCTATACTCCTTTTAGGGTGACACCCAGAACTGGACACAACCTCTGAATGAGGTTGTAAAATATAGTAGAGCTGATACTTCGAAACCGTGGTTCTGTGAATGAATCCTCTTCTTTGGCGATCACTCACAGCCGAGTAAGATTGCCTTCCATAGACACAGTTTTAACAATGAGTCTGTGACTGTGGAGGGTAATTCTGGACCCACATGTCTTTCCACAGTGGGGACATTGGTTTCCAGGCAGGAGTTGATCACGGTGTGCATTTGCCAAGTGTGCCTTCCTCTTAACACGTTTCTCCCTTGCGTCCTGAGTTTGAGTGTCTTCAAAGCCCATGACACCTTTGGTCAAGGCTGTTCTCAAAATCACATTCTCTCTCCATCACAGTTGAAACTGACTACCACCCCAACAACCTTTCTACATATGCTACTCCCCAGTCAGGTACCATGCTTGCTTGCTTGAGAGCCAGTGTGGTGTAGTGGTTAAGAGCGGTAGACTCCTAATCTGGGGAACCGGGTTCGCGTCTCCGCTCCTCCACCTGCAGCTGCTGGGTGACCTTGGGCTAGTCACACTTCTCTGAAGTCTCTCAGCCTCACTCACCTCACAGCGTGTTTGTTGTGGGGGAGGAAGGGAAAGGAGATTGTTAGCCGCTTTGAGACTCCTGAAGGGGAGTGAAAGGCGGGATATCAAATCCAAACTCTTCTTCTTCTTCTTCTATGCCTGTGCACCTGCTTTTGCGGTTTCGACTTAAATGCAGAACTTTGCACTTGTCTGTGTTGCCCACTTCCTGTGTCTTGAACTGATTGTCTTGAAAGACCCTGTGAGTCTACTAGTTAATTTCTGGAGCCTATTTCTGTAGAATTGTTTTTACTGGAGCAGTACAGTGGTACCTCGGGTTACAAACGCTTCAGGTTACAGACTCCGCTAACCCAGAAATAGGTTAAGAACTTTGCTTCAGGAGACTTCCGGGTTGGCGCCATCGCCGAATGGCGGACTCCCTCCGAGCTCCGGAGGGAGCCTGCTCGGCAGGGGCTGGGTCTTACCGCGCCGGCGACGCGGGGACCCTTAAAACCCACGGCCACGGAGGCCGTGGACATGGAGACTCGGCTGGCACCGCCAGCGCCCTCCCGACTCGTGAAGGAGCCTTTTTAAAGGCTACGGATCGGGTGCTGGGGAGAGGCGCGGTGCTTTGAGTCCTCTGCTAGCCCTGCCGAGCGAAGCCGCATGCCATCCGGCGGAGAGCGCTGACTTCTTCCATTGAGAATTCGGACTTTTAACAACAACCCATGAGTAATTTGGAAAACCGGGTTTAAAAG